GACTGACCCTCCCCATCCTCAGCTGCTCACCTCCTGGTGTGGCTGCTGTCCATCCGGCTGGTGTAGGAGCCACATTACTGGTCTCTCAAAATGTCATCTAGTTTTCCTTAGGCAAGGATTAATGGCCAGGTTGAGGGTACCTTATAAAGGTTTCAGCACTCCATATAGGGTTCAGAAGCTTATAAGTACATGTGCCTAAAAGCTCCCTTGCTCACCAGGCTCCCTGGCATTGACCATTTTCACAGGCTTTCCCACAACTGGTGTAGGAGCCACATTACTGGTCTCTCAAAATGTCATCTAGTTTTCCTTAGGCAAGGATTAATGGCCAGGTTGAGGGTACCTTATAAAGGTTTCAGCACTCCATATAGGGTTCAGAAGCTTATAAGTACATGTGCCTAAAAGCTCCCTTGCTCACCAGGCTCCCTGGCATTGACCATTTTCACAGGCTTTCCCACAAATAAGCCCCTGGCTTTATTCAAGGTTAAGGGGGGCTGTAGCCAGGAGTCTAGCAACTTCTCGAAGAGCCTCCTTTCCCATAAGCATATCCAGGCTGAACAGCTCTTTGGTTTGTGCTAGCTCAGTACTGCACCTCCTCTACACATTCCCAGGAGCAGAGAGGAGGAAGAGAATCGGGCAGAGCAGCCAAGGTGTAAGAAGGGCAGGAAAGAGAGTGGGTCCTCTGCTGTTGACTCTACCAATCTGGACCACAAAGGCTGTTCATTGATCAAAATTTTGGTGCCTGAACAGCTAGTCTCAATGAATTTTTGAGTCACCCATCTCTTTTGCAGTGTCAGCGAGAGGCCAACAAAATCATCCTTAATTATATGCACAATACACAATTGCATAGGGCACCTGAAAATTTGGGGCACCACCAGGTCTTAATGTCCACCCATCTGCCTCTTTTCTATCCCTGTTCTGTGGCCCTGCTTCCTCTGGAGAGGATCTAGTTACCTTACAAGTGACAAAGCCTGCCAGAGCTATTAGCAGAGCACTGAACCTGTGAAAGAGCCATTCACGTGGCAGTGAATTCGTTTAACTGGCATTTGCCAACCCCAGATAAATCCTGTCAGTTTCTGAATTTACCGTGTTAGTCTACAGTTTAAAATTTGTTTAAAAAATATTCCATTAGTGTGTTGCTGAAAATTATAACATCACATCTCTAAAGAATTGTCTCCTCCTCCCGCCCCCCACAACTGCCAACGGATAGTTTAATAGCACTGCAGAGGGCCCCTAAATTCTAAGAGAGGCCCTTGAGGTTAGGGCTACCCTCCCTTTGCCGACATGCCCATGTGCTTACTGGACTGCAGGAGTAGTCTCTTAGCCTCATCACTTAGGCTCCATCACCCCTAATTGACCTTGGCCCACCTTACCCAAGCCCTTTGACTTCTTCCCATTATCGTAGGAGAGTTGTTGTCAGACCAATGACTTCCCAACCTTGTAAGTAGATGCATTTGCTGATGGGGGTAAGTCTGAGCAGAATCTGCCTCTTCCCATTCAGGTGGGTGGACACTCCTCCACCATAGCCTGCTCTAGACCCCAGAAATGGGATTTACAGTGTGGCAGGTGGGCAAGCATATCACTGAATGGCATGCAGAGTCCAGCCCAGAATCTCCTTGTTAAACATTGGGAGGAGAAAGTGGCAGAGCACCAGTCATAGAAACTGGTAGAGTCATGGTGGGCCCACAGGGTACACCCTGAGTACTATGGGATTGAGGCACTGGACACAAAGGAATTTGACAGCACAGAAAAATGGAACGACTGAAAGGAAGTGGGAGATTAATTAAGATTCCAAGAATATTCCCTGATGATCATTCTCTTCTCCCATACAGAAGAATTCACCAGATCCCACAACACAAACCAAGAGGCGCCAGATGCTCAATCCACTATCATCGCACCTTCCACAAGATGGACTTACTGGCACTGCTGGAGAAAAACTGTAAAATGTTCTATCTGGTCTTCCCATTCATCTGAAACAGACCTCTCCTGGGAGGGGTCTACTGGAGAACTGTATTAAATGCTTGATGCCCACCACCAAGTGCTATTACTGACATAGGGAATACCTATGCAGTCAGAGCTCAGGGAGATGCTTAGCCAAGTGATAGGATCTAGTCTGAGAAGCCCATATCAGAGCTTGGAGAAGCACCAGCTGTGGATGCTATCACCAAAGGGGCACCGGGGACTGGGGACTTTGAACCTGGTCCAGGACTCCAGCACTTAAATCCCTGCCCCAAGAGGTAATCCCCCATAGCCCCATCTTCTCCCCATCTTCAGTGACCTGTACGTGTCTCCCCTTGACTGTTACAAGGCAGTTAAAAACCTGGCCTTCAGCATGTTTCCAGCAGCTGCCTCTTGATGGTTCCTTGGGTGATCTCTTCTGCAGTGTCCCAAGCATATAGTTAGATGAGAAGCTGGCAACTGGTGTTGGGCTTATCGTCTCTTCCTTTCCTCATCTTCTCCCCGAGGCAGTAGTGTCTTGGAACATTGCATTGCTGGGCCTGGGTGGGGAGGAGTGTGACAGGTATAATGGACTGAAATTATACCCTGCAGAATTGGCCTCCATGTCTTTAGGAGGATGGGTCAAGAACTTTCTCTTTGGCTGTGATGATGGATAGAGCCCTGCAAATCCACAGATATCTGTTTTACATCCATGGCTCATTTTTGCAGATGCAGATATGAACAGAAATTTTGTATCTAGAACCCTGCCAATGTGTGGATATCTGCTTAATATCTGTGGATATCCGCATCTGCAGATGTGGATATCCACGGCTCGTTTTTACTGTACAGATGCAGATACAAACACAAATGCTGTTTCTGTGCAACGCTGTAAGGATGGAACACTGCCCATTCTACAGCACGTTAGCTATGCCTGAAGGACCAGTCTGGATCATTTTCACCCTCCAAGTGATGTTCATGGAGGGTGATGCTCTTCTTTGAGGCGTGTCCCTGAGGGCGCTCCACCGTGGGTGTCTGGGCAACACTGTGCACCAAGTTGGAGATTTTTGGTAGCAGTGCCCTCCAGTAGGCTGCACGCACGAAGCAGACAGCACAGACAGTGCTGCTACCAGGCATTCGCAGCCAACTGTCCCTTCAGTTCCTTCTCTGCCGCCAGTGGCGTCAGTCGGAATTGCAGTTGCTCTCTAGACATTTACAAAAACTTCATCGTTCGTTGTTATTGTTAGTGTAGTTTAGGATAGTTTTTTACAGTTTAATAGTTAAATCAGTTAGTGTTAAAAACATTTTTTTCTCATAACTGTTAAGGTTGGTTTTGCCTTAACAATATTTCCTTCCTGGGATGCTAGATTCCCCAGGCTTCAGACGCTGCCTGTCCTGCAGGCTCTCAATCCATTTCCAATGGCAACTCACAGTATGTTCGGTGCCTGGAGCAGGCTCATGCCACAGCCCAGTGCCAGCACTGCAGACAGTTAATGGCGTGCATGCGTAAAGCCAGGGGGCTACAATTGAAGCTTCTCTCCCTAAAGAACAATTGACAGCCCTCTTCATTGGCCATGTCTGAGAAGGCTGTACCCTCGCCAGGGACTCTTCCTCTGACCAGCCTAGGAAGAGATCTCATTCTTCAAGTAAGGGTGACTCCCTTTCAAAAAATGGGGGCAAACACCCAAAATACCCCCTGCACTGATCGCATCTAGGGCACTAGACAAGAAGGTACTGGGACCATCTGGAACCAACGGTTCCCAAGGACCTCACTAAGGCAGGTGTTAAGGCACCAGAGAAGCCCAAATCAAAATTGGCTCCGCCAGCACCATCTGACTCAGCCTCAGTGCCAAAGAAAGCAAGAACTAAGTCAGCTTCTTTGGACACACCTCCGGCACTGAAGAAACCTAGGTCTCCGGCACTGAAGAAACCACCTCAGCACTGAAGAGGCACAAGCAATTCAGCACCTATGCCACCTCAGCACTGAAGAGGCACAAGCACCCAGCACCAACGACCCCACATATGGCACCACAGGTAGTGCAGTACTGCCCTCTACACTGCCTCGGCACCAGTGACCCTGGCACCACCGCCTTTCACAATGGCAGAGGAGCTCAGATTAACATCCATGCCAACAACCCCACTATTCGGCACCAATGGTATGCCCACATCTAGCAGGTTTAGCCTCTCCACTCCTGCAGGCTTGGCACTGCCACTCTCCAGTGATGAGGACAAGGAGCCCTTGGTTGGTACCAATACACCAAGGCATTCCTCCCCAAAACACCCACGACACCACCAGCAGCAACAAGTTCTGCTTCAATGGCAGCCACCTCAGTGGCTGCCATCGCCAATACTAATGCCAACCAACTGGTCCTACTGGGACCCCTAGGCACCCTACGGAGCCCAACAGGTGCAACCTCAGCCAACTCCAGCTATACCATCGAGGGCCACCTCTGTACCTTCATTGGAGAGATCGCCGTACCAGGAAGAAGAAGAGCCAGTTTCAGGTGATGAAGAGTCTTCTGTCTCTTCACACCCACCAACACACATCTCATCATCTTCCCCCAATGACACACTGATGCCTCCTCTCCCCACAGCAAGAGATGATTTTAAATTGTTCCAAGAATTTTACAAGAGGGTGGCTGATGTCCTGGATATCTCCCTAGTGAGCCTCTCTGAGACTCAGTATAAATGGATCAGCAGTATCTTACATGCCTCCTCATCTGCAAAACTGGCCTTACTTATGGATCCAGCCCTCATGGACCCTGCCAAGTGTTCTGACAGACGCCGACAACAATTTCACTGGTTTATAAGAGGTTGGACCATAAATACTACGTTGAGCCACTTCTTGTTGTCCCACCCATCTCCTAAGGTCCTTAATGGTAGACACCGTTAATCAGATGCAAAAACAGAGTGCACCTAGGACCATGCTTTATAATGAATGGAAACGCCTTGACCTCATGGGAAAGAAGTCATGCACTTCCGAGTCTCTTCAGCTCCACATATCAAACTACACCATAATGCTCACAAAATACACACAGCATATTTTTGAACAGCTGTCACATTTTATTGATAGCCTTCCAGAGGACAAAAGAGAACAGGAATTTAACTTACACATAACTATATTACAACTCAGGACAGTATTCTATGCATGCTAGCATGTCCTACACCTCATACGTAGCAACACTGCAGATTTTTATGGACAATCAAGTAACAATGTTTTACATCAACTCACAGAGCCATATCCTACCATCTGGCAGGGAAGCTGTCCGCATTTTGGACTTGGTACATAGCGCACAATATCTACCTACAAGCCACTTATCTACTGGGCAAAGACAACTTCACTATCAATGACCTCAGCAGTAATTTCACCTCCAACCGCGAATGGGAAATGGACTCCTGATTCCTTCACTAGCTGATCGGTCACTGGGGCTTTCCTACAGTGGACTTGTTTGCAACCAGTGCCAACAGGAAGTGTCCACAATATTGTTCCTGTGTGGGCATTAGCACGCTGTCTCTGAGGGACACATTCACAGTACACTGGAACACACCGCTCCTATACGCTTCCCTCCAATTCTGCTCCTCCATTAGTCAACAAAATAAGATCAGACACAGCCACGGTGATTCTTATTGCTCCTAAATGACCCAGTCAGATATGGTACACTTACCTGTTTCAGATGTCCAGGAGATGACCATGGAAACTTCCATTGCTTCCTCATATCTTAACGCAAGATGGCAGGCGAGTCCATCATCCATGGCTGCAAACACTTCACCTCTAGGCCTGGTTTCTCAATGGTTCACCATAGTTGAACTAACATTCACTGATTACGACAAACAAATCTTATTGAACAGTCGCAGAATAACAACCAGAAACTCTCACCTCCATAAGTGGCGAAGATTCTTACTGTGGTCAGAACAAAAACACTTAAAACCCATCCACTGTACCACTGTCTGGCATTTTAGAATACCTCCTAGCACTAAAGGAGTTGGGCCTCTCCTTAGTTCTCTAATGGTCCACTTGGTGGCCATCATGGCACTTCATCAACCCATCGACAACAACATAAGAACCATACTGAGTCAGCCCAAAAGTTCATCTAGCTCAATATCCTATCTGCCAAAAATGGCCAATACCAGATGCCCCAGAGAAAGGGAACACAACAGGTAATCATTACGTGATCCCTCTCCCGTCATCGATTTCCAGACGGACACTAGGGACACCATTCCTACCCATCCTGGCTAATAGCCATTGATGGACCTGACCTCCATGAATCTATCTAGCTCTTTTTTGAACCCTGTTAAAGTCCTAGTCTTCGCAATATCCTCTGGCGAGGTTGACTGTGCACTGAGTGGAAAAAAAAATCCTTTTCCTTGTTTTAAACCTGCTGCCCATTAATTTAATTTGGTGACCCCTAGTTCTTATATTGTGGGAATAAGTAAATAACTTTTCCTTATTCATTTTTTCCACACCAGTCATGATTTTATAGACCTCTATCATATCCCCCCTTAGTCTTCTGTTTTCTAAACTGAAACGTCCTAGTATTTTTAATCTCTCTGCATATGGGACCCGTTCCAAACCCCTAATAATTTTTGTTGTCCTTTTCTGAACCTTTTCCAATGCTAATGTATCTTTTTTTAAATGAGATGACCACATCTATATGCAGGATGGTTTTATATAAGGTTTTATATAGAGTTAATAAGATATTTTCCGTCTTATTCTCTATCCCTTTTTTAATGATACCTAACATTCTGTTTGTTTTTTTGACTGCTCCTGCACACTGAATGGATGTTTTCAGAAAACTATCCACAATGACTCCAAGATATCACTCTTGAGTAGTTGTAGCTATATTAGTCCTCATCATATTTTATGTATAGTTGGGATTGTTTTTTCCAATGTGCATTACTTTACGTTTATCGACATGAAATTTCATTTGCCATTTTGTTGCCCAATCCCTTAGTTTAGTGAGATCTTTTTGAAGCTCTTCAGAGTCTGCTTTGGTCTTAATTAGCTTGAGCAGTTTGGTATCCATCTGCAAATGTTACCACCTCACTGATCACCCCTTTCTCTAGATCATTTATAAATAAGTTGAATAGAATTGGTCCCAGGACAGACCTTGGGGGACCCCACTTGTTACCTCTCTCCACTCTGACAACTTACCATTTATTCCTACCCTTTGTTTCCTGTTTTTTAACCAGTTATCCATGAAAGGACCTTCCCTCTTATCCCATGACAACTTACTTTACTTAAGAGATTTTTGTTGAGGGACCTTGTCAAAGGCTTTCTAGAAATCGAAATATACTGTATCAACTGTATTCCCCTCCACATGTGTGTTGACTGCCTCTAAGAACTCTAGTAGATGAGTAAGGCATGATTTCCCTTTACAGAAACTATGTTGACTTTCCCTAAACAAATTATGTTCATCTATGTGTCTGACAATTTTATTCTTTGCTTTAGTTTCAACTAATCTGCCCGGTACTGACTTTAGACTTACCTGTTTGTAATTGCCAGGATCATCTCTAGAGCTCTTTTTAAATATTGGTGTCATGTTAGCTGTCTTCCAGTCGTCAGATGCAGAAGCTGATTTAAGGATAGGTTACGGACCACAGTTAATAGTTCTGCAATTTCACATTTGAGTTCTTCCAGAACTCTTGGGTGATGCCATCTGGTCTTGGTGACTTGTTACTGTTAAGTTTATGAATTTGTTCCAGAACTTCCTCTAATGACACCTCAATCTGGGAAAATTCCTCAGATTTGTCACTTAAAAAGAATGGCTCAGGTTTGGGGATCTCCCCAATATTCTCACCCGTGAAGACTAAAGCAAAGAATTAATTTAGCTTTTCCGCAATGACTTTATTATCTTTGAGTGTTCCTTTAACATTTCGATCATTCAAGAGCCCGACTGGTTGTTTATCACGCTTCCTACTTCTGATGTCCCTAAAAACCATTTTACTATTACTTTTTGAGTTTTGGGGTAGCTGCTCTTCAAACTCCTTTTTGGCTTTTTTTATTATATTTGACATGTAATTTGACAACATTTATGCTCCTTTCTATTTTCCTCACTAGGATTTGACTTCCACTTTTTTAAAGATTTTTTTTTATCTGTCACTACTTCTTTTACCTAGTTGTTAAGCCACGGTGACACTTTTTTGGTTCTCTTATTGTGTTTTTTAATTTGGGGTATACATTTAAGTTGGGCCTCTATTATGGTGTCTTTGAAAAGTTTCCATGCATCTTGCAGAGATTTTATTTTTGTCACTGTACCTTTTAATTTCTGTTTAACTAACTTCCTCATTTTTGTGTAGTTCCCCTTTCTGAAATTAAATGCCACAGTGT